GAAGGAAGGTTGGGCAATCCTACTTCTGTAGTGATACTGCCTTGGAAACCCAAGGAGGGGTCGCTATGAGTCGGGGCCAACTCGACGGCAAACAACAACAACAACATAGATGGACAAGTTTCAGGACAAACCTAGGAAGAGGCAGTTTGTCTTCAGGAAAAGTATGGTTGAAAGTAGTTTGCTCACACAAAGAACTAGGAACTTGCCTGAGTGTGTCCTTTTCTGATTTAAATTAAGGTTGGGGTCTTAGAATTGTCTGGCAGCCAACTTGTGGCTAAGTCTCAAGCTGCATGGTCATGAGTCACAGCCTATCTGGAACACCACTGAGCCAGGAAGTCAAGGCTCAGAACTAATCCTGTAACCCTTTTCCATCTTCAGTTATGTGTGTATCCCAATTACGGCCTTCTCCCCTACTTCTGTAGTACTGCCTACAATGTCGATGAATTGATCTGCCACCGATCATGATTTTGTAATGATTTTCAATCATATATAATTAGCCCCATGGCCATGACTCAATGGACTCCATTCAGCTTTCTGTACTGTGTACATGCTGATGGTTTCTCTCATCCTGGATGATTGTCTTTGTTTTGTGTTTGCCCTATTCAAGGCTTAATAAAAGGTGTCTCCACTGAACCTGTTTGAATATAGAGTCTCTTCCCCTGTTACAGAAGAAAACGTGACATTTATACAAAAGCAGCATGAGACGGGATCTGCAGCATGTGGAGCTCACCAGTGATTACCCCAGGTACCTCATCAGGGCAAAGAAAGCAGAGTGGACCCCCCGCTATACACTATCCTTAATGCCTTACTAATGTCACTATTCAGCTTATACAAGGCTTTCGTCTCTTGGTAAGTTCACATTGTCAGCGTTGTCAGCTGCTATCAAGTCAGCCCCCAACTCTTGGCTACCCCACGCACAGTGAAAGGAAATGATGTCCAGTCCTGTGCCATCCTCAGGATTGGCTGTTCATTGAATCATGCTGATCCACAGGGTGTTCACTGGCTCATATTTGGAAGTAAATTACCAGGCTTTTCTTCCTAGTCTGAGTTTGGAAGCTCTGCTGAAATCCATTCACCATCATAGCAACATGAAAACCTCCCCTGACAGATGGGTGGTGGCTGCACACGTGGTATGTTGGCCAGGAATTGAACTTGGGTCTCCTGCATGGAAGGTGAGAATTCTACCACTGAACCACCATGTCCCACTGTAAGAAGTCTGTGGGTATTGCAAGTGATCAATGCGTTCAGCCGCTAACTGAAAGGTTAGTGGTTTGAGTCCACCCAGAGGTACCTTGGAAGAAAGGCCTGGAAATCTACTTCTAAAAAATCAGCCACTGAAAATCCAACGGAGCACAGTCCTGTTGTGACATACATGGGGTTGCCATGAGTCAGAACTGAGCTGATGGCAATTGGTTTAATGTTTAATGTCATCATATACAAGTTAGATCACTTCAACCCAGTTTGGACAAACAGAAAATAAGAATATATCACATAGGCATCAGATGTAGCAGGCATTCTCCTACCTTAGGGGATTATCTGAATGGGTCTCCATGTGGGTCTCTAGCCCATACTTGCAAACAAACTCCTTGAAACACACTGGGCAGTGAAAAACTTCATCAGCCTTTTTCTCCAGGTCACCTAACTGCCCATCTTCTACCATCTTAGGGAAAAGGAAAAGATGATAAAGTCACTAGGGAGGCCTTCTTTATGGATTTGCTTTAGGAGAGAGATCCAACATTAAATCCAGACACTAAAAAAGGAAAGGGGTGTTTCCCACTCCTTAGGTATTAAGCATGCTCATCAATCACCCATTTGTGTAACAAATACTCATTAAAGACTACCGTCCATCCATCCTTCATTCAATATCCATGGCACACCTACTATGTGCTGTGCAAACAATACACTTAGCTGGTAACTGAAAGGTTGCCAGGTCAAGTCCACGGTGCCTTGTGATCTACTTCTGAAAAATTAGCCATCGAAAATCCTATGAAGCACAGTTCTACTCTGCCACATATGAGGTGGCTAAAAATTGGTGCTGACTCGATGGCAACTGGTGTTTACTATGTGCCAGGCACTGGGGATACAAAAGTGACTATGAAAGAGTTCTAACTCTTATGATGCTTACTCTAGTCAGAGAAGCAACTGAAACAGCATGGAAAACTTTAAAAAGCTCCACTTTATCCTGACTTTATCAGTGGAGTCAGGGAGGTAGGTGCAATGAGGAAACACAGTCATACTCATTTCTGTGGTCACTTCACAAAATGGCATGGGAAAAACAAGTTAAAAGCTTAGGGTAGATTTCTGTCAAGTCCCCAAACTACAAAAATACAGATGAGAAGTAATGCGGCCAAGTCTCATGATGAGGCTCTTTGGTGCTGGGAGCAAACAGGACCTTCTTAGCAGGTGCAGGGTCTTCTTTCTCAGACTCAGCATCGTGACTCAGTTTTCTCTTGGAGGCCAGGCGCCTACGCTTCAGTGGGGATGGAGGGGCTGTAGCTGTGGCACCACTGGGGTCCTTCTCATGAATCTTCATATGTCTGAAAAGAACACATGCACACACGTTTTAACAAAAATCAGTTAAGTTGTTCATGTATTTATTTATCCTTTACATTTTTTATATTTTATATTTAGGCACTGGCACTTAATTTTCCTTAATCTAGTTAAGAGAAGCAGGGTCTAGCCCATACAGTTACTTCTTTCTTTTAAAACGTTATACTCTCCTTGAACTTCAAAAGCTCTTGCAAGTGCTATCCAAAAATGTTGCTCAACGCTTTGGTGTTTATTAAAAGATACTCATAAACTTAACAGGCATTAATGAGATGTAAGCAAACTATCTGATGACCTGGTTCCATTTATTCTGGCAAAACATACTATTTTAGTATAGCTTTAGTGTATAGATGAAGTATTTCCAGGGACCAAAGCTGTTCCACTAGTTCATAAACCAAGCAACAGTCTGTATCTACTCCAGAATTTAGCCCTAATCTTCTCGTACGTGCTCTTTTTGCCTACCACTGGAGGTAAAGTTGGGGGTCACATTTGAGAAGCGCTGACAGGGGAGATGCCCTAAAAGTCTCTCTGTGTTGTTTGTAGACTTAGGTGGATTTATAGATCATGAAAGTAGCTCTGACAACGTAATGAGTAAATTACATGCTTCAATTCTGCTATCTGTAGGAAAAAAGTATTACATATAGCATATATATGCTTGTTCTAAAATGAGACTTTTTATGGTGGCTTGACTTAAATGACTTCATCAAGTCTTAAAATAAGTATCCCGAAAAAAGTCCCAAAATACATAGGAAAAGAATGATGTTACAAAAAGATCGTCAGTCTCAATTTCCTTTGTGACACATATATGATTTAGTTTTCTTATGACAATCACCATCATCATCATACTATGAGTTAAATTGTGCCAGATGTAGCTGCAGCTTTTTACACATATGCATTTTATCATACTTGGTAATTTCTTGGTAAAGGGAAACAACAGCAGTTTTCATAACCCACCTCGCTACCCTTTTGTTTAGAAGTAAGTTCAGCTCACTTTTTTTTTTTTTTTTTTTTGTGATTTGGGTGAAAGTTTACAGAGCAAATTCATTTTCCATACAGCAGTTCATACACATTTTATTTCATGACATTGATTGCAGTTCCCCACAATGTAACAGCTCGCTTCCCACTTCCTCCCTGTAGTTACCCCTTCCCCGTGTCCTTCTTTCCCACACATTCCTGCCCCAACTTATCTCCCTGTGCAAATACTGCCCTTCTGTTCTCCCATGATTGATCATTCTAAGGAGTTTACCCACCTGATGAAAATGTTCACCCAATATTCCTATCCACTGTTTGGCTGGAAGCCACAGGAGTGACTTCAATTCTAGACCTCAAGGGTAACTAGAGGCCATAGTCTAGGGGGGGATCTCATCATAGGGGGGATCTCACCAGGCTCTATCAGACCAGTAAACCTCGTTTTTCTTATGATTTTGAGTTTTGTTCCACATTGTTTTCCCACTCTATCCAGGATCTCTGCTCTGATCCCTTTCCGAGTGGTTGACAGTGGTTGTTGGGTACCACCTTCTTCTTCTGGTCTCATGGTCATACAGGCCACATGCTCACATGGCCCACTAGTCCACTTGGACTAATTGTTTCCACGCATCTGTGGTTTTCTTCATTCTTTGTTCTGGATGAGGAGAGACCCACTGTTGCATCTAGATAGCTGCCTGCAAGCTTTAAAGATCTCAGCTGCTACTCACTAAAGTAGGATATAGAACAATGTTTTTGTGTTTTGGTGTTATGCCAATTTAGCTTGATGTCCCCTATGACTGTGGCCCCAAGCCCACAGATCCAACAACTTGCTTGGTCCAGGTGCCTGACTTTGCCTAAGAAGTTATCATAACTTTGCCCCTTGTTAGTTATAGTTATATGACATTCTTAGAGCACATACACTTATGTATGTAGAAATATCAACTGCCAAACTTATATACAGTCATGGACATATTCCCTTTTGCCTAGAATTACCTGCTCATTCAACTTGTCTACCCATCTATTTACCCACAGATTAATGTTTGTTATCACTGATAATGCAGTGGGTACATGTAAAAGGTTTGATTTGGTATATGAGCTCTGGTGGCATAGTGCCTAAGGCATTTGACTGCTAACCAGAAGTTCAAACCCACCAGCCACTCCTCAGAAGGAAGACTGGGCAATTAACTTCTGTATAAGATACTGCCTCGGAAACCCGAGGAGGAGTTGTTGGGAGTCGGAACTGACTCAATAGCAGTGAGTTTGGTTTGATACATGTAAAAGGGTTCATCTTTGTTATCTATACCTTTTGCCCACCACCCTTTATTTTAGAAGGAAGTTCAGCTCACTTTTTACTGTACCTTGTTCAGGAGACCTAGGAGACAAGTTGGGGATGAAAAAGCTCATGAACCATCAGCAGCAATATGCCCCAACTGCTCAGGACAATCATTTAATGAGATGGCTACAATAACAGCTTTCCCACAAGTAACTCTTACCCCTAGGACTTTCAGGACTCAATTTTTTCTTTTTTTTTGAGAGTTAATGGATGTAAGATGCTGAAGATTATCACTTCTCTTGCTCTGGGTTTACACATTAAGTGGAGAGGTCCCCACATTAGCAGCCCCCTCTAATACTATCCCTTACTGAAATAACCACCCTATGACCAATCCAGGTAGAACTGTTGCAGATGGGTCCTAACCTCTGAGTACATGGGAGCTGGGAAAGGAGGCTCAGGATGAAGGCTGAACCTCTGTTCTAATAATGAGAACCAATGTACTGTAGCAGAAAGATCTAGTGGGAGGAAATAGAAAGTAATCTTAGACAACCAGCAGAAAGATCTAGTGGGAAAAAATGAAAAGTAATCATAGACAACCATCATGTCTACATCCAAACAATTCTTTGCCAAATTATTAGGGAAGGATGCTTTATTGCTTAGTTCTTGGTCACATAAAGCCTGGAGAAAGTTAATGGAAATAAACAAGCTTATTCTGAGTACTTCCTCCCTTCCAAGATGACTGTTATTTAAGGTAGACCTTCATGTAATATCTGCTTTTAGAGGAAAAACAGAAAGGGTGGTAAGTTTTCTTTAGCAATTTATTATATGGTAAAACCCAATTTTAGAAATGTTATGTAAAAAAAAATCTTTTTTTAATTGCGAAAGTATGATAGTATTTGTTGTTAACTGCTGTTGAGTTGGTTCCTGACTCCTGGTGACCCCATGTGTTACAGAGTAGAACTGCTCCATTGGGTTTTCTTGGCTGTAATCTTTATGGAAGCAGTTTGTTGGGCCTTCTGCTAAGCTTCTGGGTGGATTCAAACCTCTAACCTTTGAGTTAGCAGCTGACTGCAAACTGCTTGTGCCACCCAGGCACCATGATAATATCAAGGGACATAAATCAGTAAGAAAATTATCAGTCACATTAAAAAAACATGAAACCTACCCTTTCAATAAATTACTTAAAATTAATTTTTAAAAATTAACACTGCTTTCATAGCACCTTTTGTGCAGAGGAATATAAGGCTATAGGAACCTATGAGATACTCTAATATTTGGAAACATGAAATTGATATTTGTAGACAATTCACTAGTACATTTCAAGCAACACCTTTTCCATGATATGATACAAATATTTATGAAAATACAAAATGATGCTTTCATTATTTAGCTCTTGAGATTTATGAGAGATGCTATTTACCCAAAGCAGAGGAAGAAGAGGGACAGAAAACAGCACATAATGAGTTTATCTATTGGATACTTTACACAGGTGATTATTTCCATTTTGCAAGCAAGGCGACTGAGGCCAGAGAGGCTGGCCTGCCCACGCCTCACAGCTAATAGGTGGCATGACCTAGAAAGAACTCAGGTCCGTTGACTCCACAGTTCATAGTCTTTCCCCTATACCAAGCTGGACAGGCCAAATTAGTGGACTCTGTTCTGAATCAATGGTTGGCATCTTAGGGCTTTCACCTGAACACTTCCTCTCTGCAAGTTATGTGAGTTTGGCTTTGGCCAACCAGCCAGTGTCAAACTCTAACCAAATTTCAACAGGAAAACAAAGGCCAGTGAGGAGCCCACAGGTCAGGGGCAGAGAATAGTCCTGATCTCTAGTCCTGCTCATATATTAGAGGCTCTGTCCCATCCTTAAGAACTTGGGTTGCCTTAGGACTGCTTTACTGCTGAAGGGAGAAGGGGCAAGGGGAGGGAGGAGAGAAGCGGGTGGGGGGTGGGGAGAGAGAGAACAAGGTCAAAGCAATCTTTGGGCTTTGTTGGTGAGTACAAGGTTGTTGAACATGTCAATCCGCTCCAGTTCCCTGAATGAGCCAAGCTGGAGCTCCAGGTTCTAAGTACAAGCAGTGCTCCAGTCTAAGGCTAAACCTCTGGGTGTTTGCTAATCCACTCAGTTCATGGCTTTTTAGCCACGTGATAATTAACAGGAACAAACTCACTAAAGAGCTCAATTCAGTCAACAATGGAACACCCAGGGCCTAGAAGGCACAGCCATTTCTGAAGGTGGGTGTGATTCTGAGTCTGAGCCTCCCTATACTGACTCCTCCTCTTCCTTGCTGGTCTCCAACAGTAGAAGTGGCCACATTTCCTCCCCAAACGCTCACAGGAAGTGGGCCATGCACCAGGATGAGCCAGTGATGGCTCCTTCACCTCAGAATGTGGCCAAAATAGAAAAGGTGGGGGGAGGGCAAGAGACAATTTTCTTTCTGTTCTTTAGAAGGTTCAGGTCTGTTTTTCTCTCAGGTTTTATTTCAAGGGATAATTCATCTAACTTTCATGTACCACAGAATCAGTAAATTACAACATGCTTTAGAAATGGAAGGGACCTAAGAAGCTATCCAACCTCCTGCTCAGCACAGAAATTCCCTCCACAGCATACTGAGGGATCATCCTTAGTTCTGCTCAAATACTTTGAATACAAGAAGCTCTCCACTCTCATCAGCTTTAACCGTTAAAATCGTCTTCCCTGTATTGAGTCAAAAATTCCACGTGTTGGACTTCCAATGTCTATTTGTCCTC